AAAATATGAATGTTTTGCTACCAAAACATAACATTTTACAAGGTCCTTTGTCAGCAAATATTGCAAGAAGCTTTTCTTAATAGGAGGTTGTGCAACATGTTCCTGTTCCGAAAAAGTTACTGTTATTTGCCTGATAGTTGGTTAGTCAGCTGCAAACGTAACATAGTCCGCACCACATTTATGTGCCCTAACTCGCTACGTGTTTAATCGCTGCCTTCAACCTCTGCTCTTAAAGGATTTCTGCTCAAAATATTGGTTAAAAAATAGCGAGTGGCCCATAGCAAAAAGTCAAACGACGAACAGGCCATGCAATATGTGCGTCTTCATTAAGTCTATTCGTTTTCCGCACTTTTTAAAATCAATGTTTAAGTGTGTGCCTTAGAACTTACACCAACTAGTAGACATCTCATACGCTGCACTGCACCACAGCATCCGATGAAGCCTACGAACAACGTTGCCACCCCAGCAATGATTGCGATATATGAAGCAAAAGTCTGAACAATTCTAATCAGCTCTTTACTTACATTCATTCAACCTTGCTATCATTTCTTCTTTTATTATGTTCGAATGTTACACATTGTAAAGTGATATAAAATAAGAAGAAAGGGTATATCAAATTTGTAAAAAGTGAATTATTATTATGCTTAACAATTTTATTACAACTATCATTAAGCAAATAAGTTCAAACAAACATAAAGGTTTTCCTTAGAACTTTACTTTTTTGCTGCATTTTTTATCCTGTCATTCTTTTGATTGACTGAATGAGTTAAACTTACCAGTAAAGGATCATCTTCTGAGAAGTCAACGAGATCAAGGATGTAGTTTCTCTTTGGATCCAGCAACATCCACAAGCCAAGAAATATTAGCGCTAAGCCGGATGTCTAAACGGGCTACTGTAAAATCAACAAAACAGTTGAGAGAAGTGCTCTTCCAATCAGCCTTCATTATTCAATTCCAATATAGCAGATGTGTTCCTTCTCCTTTTATTACTAGTCAGTTCAAAACATACCCAAAATAAGATTGTATAGATCATTAATGCAATTTTGGCACCATCTCCACCT